CGTTTTATATGAATTCCATGTTGTACGAGTCACTTAGATTTTACAAATACGTGAGCCGTTCACAGCCCGGCACACGTATTTGTAAAATCTAAGTGAATCGTACAACATGGAATTCATATAAAACGGAAAAATCAACAGTGTTATAGGGGGGTCGACTGGTACAATAGTTTACTTTGTTTACAATATAAATCTTTATTAATGAATATATAAATTTAAAATATAATAAAGAGTTTTGAAATAATTAGAATTTGTCTTGAAACTTGAACATAACGGACAATCTTAAATCTTCCGAAATTGAATGCAATTACTCTTATAATTGCATTCAATTTCAATTACGTTGTCGGAAATTAATTCAAAAGAACAATGTACAATACAATATATATTTAAATAAATGAAATCATATTTTATAATTTTATTTCATTTAGATTTTAATATTTTATTATATTTCTAATCTATCTTAATTAATTTGAATTATTGAAAGTTCAACTTATAATTCAGTCTTAGAATAATTTCAAATTTAATTCATTAAAAACTTTAATAAATTATTATATTTTATTAAATAAATAGAACAACAAATGAACGTATTATAGAATTTTAAATGGAGTTTCAAACATTTCGTGAATACTGTACTTAATTAATTAAATCTTTTAATAATATGTCCAGTTAAGAGTAATTTTAATTTTTGTGACTTTGATGTAAATTATTAAAATAGGGTTTAAATTTAAAAATCAAATAAACACAAAATATTCAAATAAAGTAGCTGTTGTTTTATATATTTTTAAATATATATATATATAATTTGATTTATTTTTGGAAAAATTTCAAGAATTGCATGAATTTTTAAACACAGTTTTGACATAAACTGTAATGGAGAAAGAATTAATGAAAACAAACAGAAAAAACGTAAATTTTGAAGTCTAGAAATTAGGTTTTTTATAACTATAGTCTATTATTTAAAAAATCCGATTTTAATCTAAAAATCCAATACAATTTTTCATTTTGAACAACATTGAATGAATGCCATTTTAAAATCGCTTTTGTTTTAATAATTTGAGGCTGATCCATACAAGATCTGTATAAAATAAATATTGACTTGCAAAACGAACTTTTTCAGGACTTATTCAGGCTCAAACCTGGTACCAACTACTAAGATTCAGTGTATTTATACATTCGACCATTGATAAACGTGAAAGAAATGACGAATGGTGAAATATATTTATACATCTTCAAATTTGAATAATTTATAATTCCTTCGTTGAAACAATTAACTGCAGATAATAATTTTTCTTTTTCAACGCGATAAGAAAAAAACTGTATTCATTATTAATGAAAAAAAAAATGTAATTCATTGCTTGTTAGTGTTTAAGAACCTTACTGTCTTTATTGTATTTCTTAAAGAAATGTGAATACTACGGATAATTAATTTTAATATTCATCGTTTATAATCTTATGACTTCTATTCACTGGACATATTGATTCATTTTAAATTACATTGCAAATTAATTCGATGCAAATATCCTTAAGAATTTTAATAGTATGTTAGTCATAAGAAATGTACGGAGGGTTGTAAGTCGTCTATGCCTGCTTTATTGCAAGTGAATAAAATGTTATGGAAAAATTGAAGCAAACCCTTTACAAGATAGGTATCTGAAAGGAAGAATATGAAATATACTTTATTTCTAGTTGTTTTTCCTGTTTTTAATTAGATGCATTACAATAACTTACAAATAGCATGTTATTTGCATTTGCTGTACAGTACATACATATTTTTTATGCATATAGGCCTACTCAGTGCCGTATCTAGGCAGGTGCAACAGGTGTACCCGCACAGGGCCCACTTGGAAGGTGGCCCAAAATGCATGTATTTGTTTTATTATTTTCCCAAACCTAATTAATTAAGGGGCCTAAATGCAAATTCTTGCACAGGGCACAGGAATGGCTAGTTACGGCACTGAATATACTATATACATAACTTTTTCGATGCAGCTGCATTTATCCGTTACTAAATCATTAATATTAGTAAAATAATTTTTAGTATATGTTCTCAGTAAATAATTTAATAATTGTAAGAATCGATAACTATTATCCATTCTTTAATTCGCAAAATAAAATATGGATGTACTGTACATTTTCTGGAAAATATTTGAAATATCCAAGGTCTTATTATAAAATGATTGTTGTACAATTTTTACATGGTTAATCTACATGTTTATTGTAATATAAATTGTATCTTAATTTCGTTCATAATTTAATTGATAACTTCATTATACATTTTGATAAGATAACATTAAAGTTTAATACAATCGAAACTTTTCTTTGGAAAATAATGTGATTAAAGTTTACACTGTAAAAAAAGGTAACTTATTATTACAATAATTATTATAGAATAAAAAAAATTATCAAATTAGTAATGTAAATTTACGTTTTACTCAATTTCTTCTCGATAATTTATCAACTTTTTGAGAATTACAAAGTTTTATTCATACATTTCTTTTTTCATCTACAGTACTTCTCGTCATTTTAACAAATTGTTACATAAAAGAAAACTTTAAACTATTTCAGATTAACGAAATAAAACATTAGAATTTACAACTAAATTAATATAAGTACAGTATATATATTGAAGTTGATATACCGTGTTTCCCCGAAAATAAGACATCCGCAGAAAATAAGACCTAGCACAGATTTTGCTGAATTGCGAAATATAAGACCTCCCTCTGAAAGTAAGACCTAGCAAAGTTTTTTTAGTCGTAACAGTCATCGACAAATGGTTGAAAGTGGCCGTTGGCTTTTTGAAAGTACAGCCACTGATTGGTCAGCAGACAATTACGCCACGCGGCATGATTTGCATAAGACTATGGCTTGGGAATCACAGATTTGCATAACGTTACGGCTAGTGATGGCTAATTGGTCGGCCGGGAATCACGCCACATGACATTTGCATAGTGCTACGGTTTAGTAAGCACTAATTGGTCATCGAGTCCGATGTTGACGCTATAAAAAGGCGACAGTTCGACACACCGGATATACGTCACTCTCGTCTAAGTTCGACTTGGGAATTTTTTGTTCAATAATAAATGTGAATTCTTCTTCCTGGAAAAAATAAGACATTCCCTGAAAATAAGACCTAGCGCCTTTTTCAGAGCAAAAATTAATATAAGACACTGTCTTATTTTCGGGGAAACACGGTATCATTTCTATAAAGGAAGTATTTTAAATTAAAAATAAGAATCCACGTTTCACATTTTCTTAATAAAATAGGTCATCCGATTATAAATATTAATTATACATAGTAATTAATTTAAAAATTGCGTGATGTACATTTAAACGTAGATATAAAATGTACTTAATTAAGTCTCTTTCTTTCAAAATGTAATAATAATAGTAATAATTTGGATGAATTTGATCCACGAAAAATTCACGACATGCTTAAAAATAATTATGAAAATGGTAAAAAAATCACATAAAATTCTCTGTAAATATTATAAGTATTATAATAATACTTATAATAAATTTTTAAATTGTCAATTCAGTATATATTATTCATTATTATTTTCAATTATTTCTTTATATAGAGTAGATCTAAACCTTCAATTTAATGTAATATTTCTCTGAGTACTGTATAGATGGTGAAAGATTCTTTTACATTTTTTATTACTATTATTTTAAACTATTAACTGTCATTAGATGTAAATTTTAGATCATATCTAAAATTGATCTTCTTATTAATAAAAAAAAATAAATAAATAATAAATAAATTAGTAAAAATTAGCTTAATAAAATTAGATAAACACTAAATACAAACTGAAAAGAAGTAATTCTTTTAAATTATTTTTACTTTTATTTCGAAGTTTATTTTGAATAATACTCAGATGTTAATAATATCCATTAGAATAAAAGTTAATTAAAGAGTTGTAAAGCTCTCGTGTTTTTATAGATTGACCTAAATAAGATTAAAAATTTTTAATTTAAAAAAAAAAATAATATTAGTATAAAAATAAATTTTCTAATAATTATAGATTTTTCAATATCTTAAATATGTTAATTATATTTTAATTACGTATTTGCTTGATAAATTAACTTACAGCAATTTTTATCTCGTACGAAATATTATTATAAATTATCGTGTTGCTATAATAACTTCT